GGAGAAAGCACCAGAAAGTATAAGATTCTTGCTGCATGGCTAAAATCAAATAGAGTTTCTCCATGTGGACCAAATATCATGGTATTTAAAAATCATCACTGGTTCCAAGTGCAGCATCTGGTAAGACTGATGAGGTATAATCACCCCAAACTCAGCTAACACATAGCTCTGCACAGACTCCAATTCACCTGAGCAATATAAATGAAGAAAGAAGGGAGGTTATTGGCTTCTTTCTGCTCTGTGCCTCTGGGCTAGGTCTTCTGGCTTCTCCAGGCTAGGAGGAGGTGCAGGAAGGCTAGACTTGTTCAGTTGCTCAGTCATATCTTACTCTTTGCAACCCAATGGACCACAGCATGCCAGGTCCATTGAGTCAGTAATGCCATCCAACCTGTTGTACTCATCCTCTGTTGCCCTCTTCTCCTGCTTTCAATCTTTCCCAGCATCAGGGTCTTTTCCAATGAGTCTTCTCTTTGCATCAGATGGCCAAAGTATTGAAGTTCCAGCTTCAGCATCAATCCTTATAATAAATAGTCAGGATTGATTTCCTTTAGGATTGACTGGTTTGATCACCTTGCTGTCCAAGGGACTCTCCAGAGTCTTCTCCAGCACCTCAGTTCAAAAGCGTCAGTTCTTCAGTGCTCAACCTTCTTTATAGTCCAACTCTCATATCCGTACATGACTACTGGAAAAGGCATAGCTTTGGTTATATGGACCTTTGTTGGCAAAGTGATGTCTCTGCTTCTTAATATGCTGTATAGGTTTGTCATAGTTTTCCTTCCAAGAAGTAAGCATCTTAATTTCGTGGTTGCCGTCACTGTCCACAGTGATTTTGGAACCCAAGAAAATAAAATCTGTCACTATTCCCACTTTTTCCCCATCTATTTGTCATGAAGTGATGGGAACAGATGCCATGAACCTTGTTTTTTGAATGTTGAGCTTTAAGCCAGCTTTTTCACTCTCCTCTTTCACCCTCATCAAGAGACTCTTCAGTTCCTTTTCTGCTTTCTGACATTAGAATGGTATCATCTGCACATCTGAGGTTGTTGATATTTCTCCCAGCAATCTTGATTCCAGCTTGTGATTCATCTGGTCTGGCATTTCACATGATGTACCCTGAATATAAGTTAAATAAGCAGTTAATACTGCTTAACTGTTATAAGGCAGTTAAATACAGCCTTGACATACTCCTTTCCCAGTTTTGAACCAGTCCATTGCTACATGTCCAGTTCTGTTGCTTCTTGACCTGCATACAGGTTTCTCAGGAGACAGATAATGTAGTCTGATATTCCCATATCTTTAGGAATTTTCAACAGTTTATTGTGATCCACACAGTCAAAGGCTTTGGGGTAGTCAATGAAGCAGAAGTAGGTGTTTTTCTGGAATTCCTTTGCTTTCACTATGATCCAACATATGTTGGCCATTTGTTCTCTGGTTCCTCTGCCTTTTCAAAATCCAGCTTGTACATCTGCAAGTTCTTGGTTCATGTACTATAGAAACCTAGCTTGAAGGATTTTGAGGACCTTGCTAACATGTGAAGTGAGCATAGTTGTACAGTAATTTGAACATTCCTTATAATTTGAACATTCCTTGGCATTGTTCTTCTTTGGGATTAAAATTAAAACTGACCTTTTCCAGTCCTGTGGCCACTGCTGAGCTTTCCAAATTTTCTGACATATTGAGTGCACCGCTAGCACTTTAACAGCATCATCTTTCAGGATTTGAAATAACTCAGCTGGAATCCCATCACCTCTACCAGCTTTATTTGTAGTAATGCTTCCTAAATTCCACTTGACTTCACACTGTAGCATGTCTGACTCTAAGTTAGTGACCACACCATTGTGGTTATCTGGGTCATTAAGACATTTTTTTGTAGTTCTTCTGTGTATTCTTGTCACCAGGTCTGTAGGAAGGCTAGACTAAAGGTAGGTTTCATAGATCTAATTGCACTTGCTAAGCACTTGGTGTATGACCAGCTCTTACAGTGACTAGTGAAGAGGCCTAACAAAATGAGAAATGGTCACTTTTTACAACTTACCAAAATTCATTCTTGCAGAGATGCTGGTATATTAATATCTTAAAAGCCTCTTGGTATCACAGAGGGACCAGGGAACCAAAAGAAGTCTTGTCTCAGGGGTATGCTGAGCAGGGAGTTTTTCAAAGAGCAATCATGTGGGCACATTGTGCCTCAGTCACTCACACGCCATTTAAGGGCCCAGAGCTCTGGCCAGGCAACACTAAGTGAAATTTAATGTCTTCCCAGGATCAACAAAGGACAGAAATGGTATGGACCTAACAGAAGCAGAAGATATTAAGAAGAGGTGGCAAGTATACACAGAAGAACTGTACAAAAAAGATCTTCATGACCCAGATAATCATGATGGTGTGATCACTCACCTAGAGCCAGACATCCTGGAATGTGAAGTCAAGTGGGCCTTAG